GTGCGCATTTTTATAGTGTGCCTATTTGCATGCATATTTTGGATGTACGCGTTTGTGCCACTGTGCCGTCTAGGCATGTGAAAATGTAGCTCCGTCTCTCTAGGACTTCTGGGAAGAACAAAGCCCTCTTGCGGCATCCCTGGCGAGGGAGCCGAGTTCAGGGACATTTCCTCTCCAAGCAGGCAGAGGCATTTGAGGCACGGCAGATTGTCCAGGCAGGCGGTGTAGCAGCACTGGGCAGACTTCCGAATTGCAAGGTCTGCACTGTATTTCAGAAATCGGAGATTCACTAAGTAGAGCCAGGAAGTGGCTCAGGAGTGGCATCTGTTGAACTAAGCTGCATCAGAAGTACAAACCTCCTGGAATCGTTATAGAACTTCTATTTGATACACAAAACAGAGAAAGATGAAATAAATCATATACATCTGAGAGCCAGTGTGGCGTAGTGGTTAAGAGCATGGGACTGGGACTCAGACGATTGGGGTTCTAGTCCCCGCTCAGCCATGGAGCCAACTGGGTGACTTTGGGCCAGTCACAAGCTCTCAGCCCAACTACCTCACAGGGTTGTTGCTGTGGGGATAAGATGGAGGAGGAGAATGATGTAAGCCACACGGAGTTCTTTGCAAGAAAAAAAAGCAGGATATAAATCTAATAAATAAGTGAATAAATCCGCTGTGATTTGGAGAGGGCTATAAAGGGAAGGCTGGGCCAATGCTGGTAGGAAATACCGGAGCTGGTAGGAAATGCAAGAGAGAGCAAAATGCACACAAATAGGGTGACCATGACATTTTCTCTACATGGGACTCTGCACTCACCTTCTTGGCCGTAAGCCTCATACTCCCAAAAATATGCGGACATTGTCAAGGAGCAATGTATTAACACGCGTCATCAGGTCGGAGAGTGCCTTACAGGCTATCTAGCCTGGAATTCTTCAAGCTGGGGCCCTCCAGATCTCCGGGGCCACAACTCCCACCATTCCTGACTACTGACTGTGCTGGCTGGGGCTTATGGGAGGTGAAGTTCTAAAACACACAGAAGGCACAAGACTGGCGAGGGGCAATCTAGTGCAACCCTCTGCTGCATTCAGGACATTCAGAGCTGAAGTCTCCCCAAGATATGGATGATCCAGGGACCATATTTTCTTCCTTTTGTGATTAAGTTATTAATTTTACTAAAGTTCATTATATATATTCTATTTTTATTGGGGAGGTGGCTCCCTCATTTCAGAATCAAGTCTCCCCATGCTTGTGGAAGCACGGCCAGAAGCACACCAGCTTTGCATGAGAGAGAGGTATCGGGACGTTTACAGGGTTGTAAAAAAATTAAGGAAAAAGCTTTAAAGTGAGAATTCTGCCCTAAACAACCCAATGAGAACTCAAGGACACCACATCTTGATTGACTGGGAGGAAAGCAACGCACAGCCAGGTGAGAGGGAGTGGGTGGAACAGGAGAACATAGACACAAACACAAGTAGAGGAAACCATCTCATTATCTCGATAGGTCATGTGTGAATTGATAATGAGAAACTATTTTTTTAAACTCTTGTGGATGGAAGTGAGAACTGGCTATATAAATATATGAAGAAAGCTAAGATTTTGGGCCCAAGGGAACCACATCAAAAGAGTTCAGAGTGGACTGATCTTACTCAGTGTAGTATGTTGACTGAGTACTGCAGAAAAAGCAAAGGGAATGTGGGGAGGAGAAAGGACAGATCACAGAGCAGAAACACTCTGTATTACACCACTGTGTTGCGCATCCCATGAATAAACAGCAATCTGCGGAAGATAATTTAAATACGCATTTTAGCCTGGGCGTACATTAATATTCATATTAGAGACTAGTGTAGACACTGAAAAATTTAAGTTCTGCAAGTGGAGAAGATCATTTCATGTTGTGTATTGGATTTATAAACTACCCAAATGCCAAAGCTCTCTGGGTGGTTCACAGAAATTACACCTGCCATGCAAGATAATAACAATATAATTCCTTTACCACATAGGACTTATGAACAATTTTAAATGGCTAAAAACAGTTGCAATAAAATAGCAGGGCCTGATAAAAAATAGTTGGCATTTAAAGATGCACCGTATAATGTCGAATGTCTGGGGAAGGAGAGGAAAGTTCTGACCTGATGCTGAAAAGATAACAATGTTGGTGTCAGATGGGTCTCAGTGGGAAAGGCAATCCACAGTTGGGGTGCCACCACTGGGAAGGCTCTGTCCCTCGTAAGCACCCTCCAAATGTTCTGTAGAGGAAACACCTGGAGAAGACTCACCTTTAGCACCCAGGTAGGCTTATACTGGGAAAGGACCTTCACCAGATGCTGCAGTCCTGAACTCTGTTAGACTTTAGAAGTTAGTCAGCATCTTGAGCTTATCTGGGGAATGTACAGGCAGTCAGAGCAAACAGGCCAGAATGACTGTTCTATGCTCAGACCTTTGGGATGCTGCTAACAATCCAGCTGCCACGTTCACACAAACTGCAACTTCCAGGTTATCTTCAGAGGAATTCCCACGGAGACCTCACTGCAGTAAGCTGAGCTACCCGCTGCAGAATGCACCTCAGTGACAAGGACGGCTTCAGGACACCCCCAAGCTGCAAACCTCGTCCTTTGGGGGAGTGCGACCCCATCAGAAATAGGAAAAGCAGCCTGCCCTTCAGTCAAAGAAATCACCTACTAACGGTGCCTGTGTCTTGTTGAGACTGAGCTCTGTTCGTTCATTCATTCATTCACTCACTCACACACTCACTCACTCATTTGATTTACATCATGGCTTTTTCTTTTTTTGAAGGACTCAAAGCAGCTTACATCATTTCCCTCCTCCTGCTCCCATCCCATTGTCATAACCAGGTGATGATTTAGCACATTCAAAGCCTTCCCTGAAGAAGGTAGAACCGAAAAAGGGCTGCGAGTCATCAGCATATTAATGGCAAAGCACTCCCGAACAAACCAGCCAATGGCTTCATGTGGTTATTAAATATCACGGATGACAAAACTGACCCTTGCGGAAACCTACGTTGGAGAATCCACGGGATGAAGAGTACCCCCAAGCTCTACTTTCTGGAGCTGGGGAATCCAATTAAGAGCTGTGCCCTCAGCTCTGACAGCTGATCCGGATAGATACCATGTGCCATGGCACTGAAAGCCACCAAGGAATCAAAGGGAATCAATTCCTCCCCCCCCCCCGTCCCTCACCCAACAGAGCTCATCACCTATGCATTTGTGTGTGTGTGTGTGTGTGTTAAAATATATCCAAAGTCCTCCAGCTGTTAGTGTTCCTGAGGCTGTTCTGCTGGATGGGGAATGCTCGTTGTCCTGTGTTTTCTTACTGTGCATGAGGTTATGTCTCAAGAGTACTAAAAACAATGAGTTAAATCCTTCTGACAAATTGGAGAGGGATGGAGAAACCAGCCTCCCTAAACCACAAAGGACCCCACTCCTAAAGCCCCTGAGATGTGAGCTGCACTGGACTCAACGTTTATCTGAATCACTGCATTCCACATCTAACATTAATGCCTGTAGCTCATTTTATAGCATAGCACAACTTACGGTTAAGCATTTTTATGGTGTCATTATCTTTTGTAAGATGTTCTACAGGAAGAGTTCTAGAGATGGTTATTTATTTTTAGGTCTCTCTGAAAAACCAAGCTTGGCTGCCTTAAGGAGGTTTAACTGTGGCCCCTCTATGCCATACTAACATTTAAAAATGCTTGTAACTGAATGTGAACAAGCATGCACAAATATGACCAGGGGTGCCAGCTAGCTAGAATTCTTCAGTCCTTAGTATTATTCCATCTTTCCAATCAACTACAGGAAGCTGTAACATCAGTCCAAAATAAGTGTGCAAAGGTATTTTTTTAAACATCTCTGCTTAAGCTGTGTGAAGTTTTTAAAAGCCCAAACAGAAGTAGTGCCCTTCCAGTGCATTCCACTCTTTATTGATTTTCTAAAGCTGATTCCTGTAGAAGGGGAATGTACAGTACAGTTACTCAAGGCTCAATTACCTTTAGATTTTTTTAGAATTATTTTTAAGAAAAGCTGGTGGTGTAGTGGTTAAAAGCATGGGACTGGGACTCAGGCGATCCGGGTTCGAGTCCCCACTCGGCCATGGAGCCAGCTGGGTGACTTTGGGCCAGTCACAGACTCTCAGCCCAACCTACCTCACAGGGTTGTTGTTGTGGGGATAAGATGGAGGAGGAGAGATGATGTAAGCTGCCTTGAGCCCTTTGGAGGAAAAAGGCAGGATATAAATCGCAATATATAAATATCACTGCTTGCACCCAGGAACATTCTTCGTTTCATCCTTTGTAAAAGCAAAGTTCAGGTGAACACTCCGGAGAAAGGCACTCTACCCATGCTCAGAGACATCTTCGTCTAAGATATTGGAGTCGGAAGCAGCATCGTGTGAATGCTCGGGATGCAGGGGTTTTTTTTTTTTCATAGAGCCAACGATACTTTATATATCTGGCACTCTCCTTCGTGTATAGGACAGGCCGTGCAAAGCGTGCCACGCTATTTCTCTACCCTCTCTTCGCTAGTACGAATCACTGTCAAGGAATAAAGGCGAGGCTCAAGCCTTATTGACACGCAGCCATCCAATGACCGAAAAGATATCGCTTTCCTCTCCTTTCGTGCACCAATCCACGGTGACCGGAGGCGGGTCCTTTTGCCGTCCGTTAGACCCACGAAGACTAAGCCGTAGCCCCGCTGCCATCTTGTGTGTGGCCTCAGCTACTCCTCCCCTTTCCTTCACCGTGCTCTGTCCGAACGAAGCGGGAACGAGGCGGGCGTGGCACACCCCTGCTGTAAAGGCCCCGGAGCACGCCGGACGGTCTGTGCGATCCTCCTCGGCTCAGGGAAAACGGCCCAAGCGTCTTTCTGCAGCCTCCGGAGACCCACTCAAGATGGCGCCGGCGACGCGCCCTCCTCCGCGCCGCGCGTCGTGCGGATGACGTCACCGCGCTCTGGGCATGGGCAGGTGGGGCGAGCAGGCTAAGTTTGGCCAGTGTGAGCAGGAGGAGGGAGCGGCGGCGGAGGCTGTTGCCGCGGCTGGGGAACTCGAGGCGGGCTCTCGCTCCTTTTCCTCCCCGTCTCCCTGCCCTGCTTTGGAAGCAAGGCCTGCGAAGCCTCGCTTGCCGCTGCGCGGGGACGGCGCCGCCGCTGCCATGGCCGTGGAAGACTCCAGCTCGCTGCCCTGGTCCATCAACAAGGATGACTACGAGCTGCAGGAGGTGATTGGTGAGTGGGGCCGGGCACATGGGGAGGCTGCGGGGCTGCGGGCGGGCGGGCGGAGCGGCGCCCCCCGCGCCTCCGCGCTCGCGCGAGGCCTGGCGCTGCCCACGGCAGCGAGGTGGGGGTGGGCGCCTGCCCTGCTGGGGAGGGGGGCGTGGGGCTGGGCGTGGGTGTGTGTGGCGCGGCGGAGTTTCTCTCTCGTGCAACTCGGGGCGTGCGCCTTTATGTCTGGCGAGCGCAGGCTTCGGGAGCAGGGGGTGTGCCTTGCTTGCATTCTTGTCCATAGACGTGTGTGTGTGCAGGGGGGAGACAACTCCCGATCCAGAAAGACTGGCTTTGTGTGTGTCGTAGGAACCAGCTGTGTGCATTTTTGTAATATCTAGGGGCCGGGGTTGTACTTGGGTTGCACGCTCCGGTTTGCTGAGAATCTCTCTGTGTACGCTTGCTCTTGAGGGTGTCAGGGTGACCTCGCTCCTGTAACTGCCCGCCTCAGGGAGAAGCACTTCCAAGTCCGGTTGTGTGTTGTGCCCTTTTCACGTATCCCTTGCAAAACGGAGTTATATTAGTGCAGGGATGTGTGTGGGTTGAGCCGTGAAGCACCCCTACCAAACTTGCTATCTTGGGTGTAATCTGAGTAAGCTGAACAGGCTGACTGAGGAAGGCAGTCCTAGAAAGAGCGGAGTTCTGGACACACGTGCCTTAATCCAGGGAATTGTGCGTGTCACGTCTGTCTAGTGAAAGGGCTGTAGGGGCGTGGGTGCCTCTGTGTGCTTGCATTTTTGCGTCTGCCTGCTGTTGCTTGGGACAGGCAAACCTTGTACTCGTGGTCGTTGCTGATGCCTGGAGGGGAAGGCTGGTGCCTCTGCGGTGGGGGCAGGTTGACTCCCAGGTCTGGGAACATGGCTTTTATATATGCTGCTTCTCGTGCATTTTCAGGACTGTGATAGGGGCAGCTTCTGGGATACCTTTCTGGTGGCAGTCTTGCTTTTAAAAATATTTTATGGTTTGCTTTTTTAGCTGTACGGGAGGCATGGACCTGTTCCTGAAAAGTTGGGACTAGAGTATTTGTGTGTGCTCATGCGTGATCTCTGAGCACATTGGGTTTGGCGCAAGAACGTAAAAACCCTGCTGGACCAGACCAAAGTCCATCGAGTCCAGCATGCCGTACACGTGGTGGCAAACCAGCCGCCCACAGGATCCCTCCAGCAGGACGGGTGCAAGAGCTCACCAGCAACTAGAAGTATGCAGACAGTCGTGCTCTGGTCGAGAAGGTAGCCCATGGCCAGCAAGGCTACTAGCCACTGAGAGCCTCCTCCCTCATGAATTTGGCCAGTGCTCCAGATTGGGAGCTGACACCATTTCCCATGGCAGTGAATTCCATGGTTTCACTATATGTTGTGTGAAGAAGTACTTCCCTTTATATAGCCAGGTTAGATTCAGTGCAGCGTAGGGCCACAGGGTTGGTGGCCGGTTTGCAGGGGATGCCGTATGAGGCAAGGCTGAGGGAGCTGGGTCTCTTCAGCCTGGAGAAGAGGAGACTCCGAGGGGATCTCTTGGTGACATACAGGTATGTGAGGAGGTGTCACATGGAGATGGGTAGAGACCTGTTCTCCCTGGCAGAGGAAGACAGGACTCGCTCCAACGGAGCAAAGCTCAGGGAGCCAAGGTTCCATTTGGATGCCAGGAAGCACTACCTGACAGTCAGGACCCCGAGGGTGTGGAATGGGCTTCCCCGGGAGGTGGGTGAGGCCCCACCGGTGAGGGTGTCCAAGGACAGGCTGGACATGCACATGGCAGGCACGTCGTGAGCGGAGCCGGCTGGAGCTGAGGGTCCCTTGCTCTCTTTTTTCTAAGCTGAACAGTCCCAGTTGTAGTGGCTTCTCACAGGGGAGCATCTCCAGCCCCCGATCATCCTTGCTGCCCTTTTCTGTACTTTTCTCAGCCTGATGCCTCTTCCAGCTAAGATGACCAGAGTGCGATCGCAACAGAGATTCGTACAAGGGAAGGAAGATTTTGGCCATTCTGTTTTCTATTCCATATTTTAGAGAATATGTTTGCCTGGTCCTGTGGCAGAGGAGGTCTGGGGGCAGGCTTATTAAATATAAGTAAAACAGCTTTACAGTTAAAGCACATCGGGACCTGCATCTTGTTCTGCAGGCAAGTTGTGGTACCAGTTGCTTATGTCTGCTTTTGCTTGTGCATGTGTCCATATAAAGCTGTACTGATGATCTGTTAGATTTAGTGCCATTAGGCTTTTGTGAGATCTCCGTATTCTTCACAACTGGGACTGGCATTGTGCCTTTAATACTGGGCAATACGTGTCTGTAGAGGCCTGGAGTTTTTCTTTGTGCGTTGTTTGGGGAGGTTTGAATACCTGTCGTTTAAAGTTTTTGAGGCTTGTGGGTGTTTAGTTCCACTGTAATTAAAGTTTTGCAGTTGGTTTCTCACTGCGTGTCTTCAAGCTTTCTCAAACTGGAAGTCCTCGAAATACTGCATACTTATAAGTTCAAATGAACTTTCTTCTGTCTTCAGTTGCCATGATGCTCTTCTGCTCCACGTTTTCCTCTGGCTTTGGTTCTCAGAAGTGCATCTGTAAGCTCAAGTCGATGTCAGATTATAGTTAGATGCTGGAAAACTGCAGTTTGCCCTGTGGGTGTCTGTTCTGTTGTAGAATCTATTGCGGCTTCAAAGGGGAGAGTTCAGTGTTGGTGCATCCCTGGAAATCCTGATGTGTTTCTGAAGCAACATTTGTGGTACTTCATCCAGACAGCTGCTGTGGTGCAGCCACCTTTTTTGGATCAGGCGTGAATGCCTGGCTTTTGCTGTGCCTAAAAACCCATATTTTAGCCTGTTAATCTGGCCCTGGCACAGGTTCTGGAAGTACGGGAGTATTAGGGTAGGGGCTTATTGCAGGGTTGGAAGAGGTTAGGCAGTGTAAGGAGCTATGGGGGTGCTGGAGCTATGGGGGTGCTGGAGCTGTGGGGGTGCCGGACTAATCTAGTGGAAAGTTCCAGTCTATACAAATCAGTATAGACTGGAAGTGGTCACAGTGGAAGACCCCAGTTCATAGGAGTAGCAAGCTGTGTGGGAGATACTTGTATAGTTATAAAGGAAGATAAATAAAATGGCCTGTTCTTGCAGGGTAGCCTCTGACAGGGGAAGGAGGAGGAAAAATTAAGCCTTGGATTGGTGGGGTGGGGTGGAGAATCAACCTAGAGAATGGCTTGCCAGTGATTGGACCCCAAAAGACCCTTGTCTGAGACCCATCATCCATAGCAGTAGAGGAGACCAGATGCTGTTTTTGCCTCATTATCCATTGGTTAACCTAACAGCAGACCAAAATTTGTTTAACTCATACATAAGTCATGGTCTGTGGGTTTGGATGACCTAACAGGCCACAACCGGGGCTTGAATAAGGAAAAATAGCTGGCATGAACTGAAGCAAATCAGTCTAGGTGTAAAATTAATCTGTATTTATTTATTTTTGCATGTATATGCTGCCCCTACTCCAAATGGAGTCTCTAGGCAGCTTGCAATACTGAAAATAGTAGACTCATTAAAAACAATAAAAATAATCCAATGCAATAAAACATTAAATAGTTAATATCAGAACAACAATATATTGGTCAATACTAAAACCATAGCAGGAACAATCAAGATGGATGGTTAATATAAATATATTCAGGCAGTACGTTTGTACAGAACTAGCTGGAAATCTTCATGCAAAGTCAGTCTGCGAGTCTCGAACTCCTGCAAGACCCCTTCCAGCTTTGTGGATCTTTATTTGTAATAATAAAATCTGTCTGTCTGTCTGTCCATCAGCATCATAGCACCAAGACTGCCACCTCAACCCCCGAATCTCAGCAATGCTCTTGTGTGTACCTTGAGATTATAGTTTTCAAAATGAATGGATTTCACTGGATTTGTAAATGCATGGTTGAAACTTGCTGTAACAGCTTCAGCCACTGGGGCGGGCTTCGTTAATTAGCACACAGCCTGGCAGGTGATGCAATTTGAAGCCGAGGAAGTTTAGTAAGGCAAGGAATGCAGTTACATGCTGTTTCGCTCCCATCTGTTGTGGAACAGCCCCCCTTCAGGGAGGGTGGACAGGCCCCTTCTTAAGGGGCTGCACCTGGCAGCTGTTATGCCTTAGCATGTCAGCCGGTGTGGCTTCAGTCAGATGAGGGGGGCACAGTGCGACTCACTCAGGCAGCTGTGTAAGTTTGCGTCTCTTTATCCAAAGGCCGTTGTAACCTGTGCAAAGCTGGGTCTGTTTGCTAGGAGTACAGAAGGGCAGTGGATTCTCTGAGTGGGGCCACATTCTAATGCAAAGAGGACTAGTCATCAGATTGCACTATGTCTACCTCTGTGCCCTTTCCTTAACTGCCCTGGGTGCTTATAACCTGAACACTTGTGCGCTTAGCTCTCACTGATTCCACGAAACCTTCTGGCATTACCTGCCTTGCCCAAGTTCCAGGTATCAGTTCTGTGGACAGAAATCCCTGTGATTTTTAAAAGGGTGATTGATGGCTTTAACAGCGGTGGAAGGGGAGATTTGGATTGGGACCAGATAGAGGGATGAGTTCACTCATAATCCTGGCTGAAATTCCTTCTTCAGACACTGCTCTCGGCCCTGTGGAGGAAGTATATGGGTCCCATGCGGATTAGATCTTTCTGTAGGCTATAATTGCAGACTTGATTCTTGTGGTGCTCTCCTCCTCCTCCTCCTCCTCCTCCTCCTCCTCCTCCTCCTCCTCACATGATCCTGTTTGGGTGATGCTGTTTTGCAGTACATCCAGTCTGTTCACAAGCTGCATTTTTCGTTCGCTCCTGCTCTCCCTCCTGCTTTCATCCAAACTTGGATCATACATTCTTTGGGGGGAAAGAATTCTCTCTTGCCCTGTGTATTGACAAACTGCAGAATAACTTGTATTTCTGCTTACTGGGAAGTGCAAAGGCCGAACCACAACTCACAGATAAAGCTGAGTTTTTATTACTACATCGCA